CGGTAATTTCATTATAATTGTTTTATTAATCTTATTGATTAATTTTATTATAACCAGCTTTATTATAACTAATTTTTTTTATTGTTGATTAATTTTATCATAACTATAATTATTTTAAAATAATTTCACTAATTTTACTAATTTTTTAATTCATATTTCCCACTTTCCCCTTCGATTTTCCTTCTTATTTCAATGTGCCTTTCTATTGACTAAAATCTTGATCTTTGTCCCTGTCCGTTAAATGTGTATATGTTTTAAATCAACGGCATAACTGAAACTCGGTTTGTTATAAAATATTATTATATAAGAAATCAAAAAAGTTAAATCAATGATGTAGGAGAAAAAGAAATTATTCGAAAAGGTGTTATTTATAGTTTTTCGGAAATTTTCAAATTACATGGTTTAGGCCAAGAAAAAAATCGTTGTAGATTGTCTAACTGTGTTTTAGTTTCAGTATGAATCAAATTTAATGCGCCTTCAGCGGCAGCAAGCTGTTGTAGCTGCTGGCGCTGCATATGCTAATTTACGTCGAAACGGTTGTGGTTCCGCTTTGCTACCCCCAAATACTGCGCTCTCATCGCTGGCACGAGCGGTCGAAACTTTTCCACCAAAAGGTAAATTCATTATCAGCGAAATTACACAAAAACTTTATTGCTGCTGTCGAAAGCTCCACTTCTATAGTTCATCAAAAATAGGATTTGTTGAACAGGTCAAAGTCATATATCGTGAACGGAGTTAACGATATATGACTTTGACCTGTGCTCACCTCATGCAAAGAACTTTCAGATTCGTGGCTTGAGCCAACTTGGATTCTAATGTAACGATCGGAGGGCTGGCGAAGTGAGGTGCGGTTGTGAGAGGGGTGGGGAGGGGGTAGTGGAGGGACTCACTAAAATTAATAAATAAAGCTTTATTAAAAAGAAAACAGAAACACACCAATAGCGACCAACACCATCCCACAACCGCTGGCTAATCGGCAGCAGCTCCAAACCGTCACCGTGCAATACACAAGAGGCGGAAGAGGAGAAGGCATCACCAAGCTGCGGCCGCACAATAACTGACTCGCAGAAACAATCAACATTTCATTTCTAATCACATCGCTGCATATCACGGGGAGGGGGAAGCTCGAGCCAGGTGATGGGGCATTTGCATATCACATGGAATCGAAGGGCAACTGCGCAAGGTGCGGGGAGTTTAGCCGACAGCTTCGTTTCCTTGCTGTTAGCACCTTCTTCCTTTTGCAACACTATTCCATGTCCGTATGTGCGTTTATTACTCGTGAAATAATATAATTCGTAATCTAATTCGTACATTTTGCTATCACAGATGTTTTACCGCAACGCTTCCTCAATTCCATAAAAGCGCAGAAGGAAGGCAATTGACCAGCACCGATTTAGAAACTTTCCATTCCAGATCGGCAACTTTCTGCTGAATTCATGCATGCTGGTCCCAAATTTGTGTATTTAAATTTACAGGAACTGATGTTTAGCGTAATTTAAAGTCAAAGCCGTCTTTTAAAATCTGCGGCAAATACACTCTTTTCGACATTCATCTATAGGAATTTGTGTATTTAGTTCGGGAAATGTGATAAATTTATTTAGAGATTAGCATTTTCAAGGTCCGGAACCACACGTAACGATGTCAATGGAAGAATATCAAGCGCTAGTAAAAGCAGCAAAAGCGGGCAGTGCGCTAATGCCTCCAGGTCCATCGTCAAGCACTTCGGATCCGTGCTCTTCGCAATCCGTTCCCGGTTTCGACGACATCAAACGAAATGTCTACTCACCGACTGAACAGGAAGCGATGATGAATATTGGTAATAGTCATGGAATCATACGGCCCTCGCTAATTCAGGGCACGCGTGAGTGGCGCTTTTTTTTGCTATCTACAGTTGAATTCCTCATAAAATTCTTCTAAATATTGACTTTGTTGTAAGCACAAGATAGTGGGGGACATTGAGGGGGCAAATGGTGTCCCGGAGAGTTCCTAGTTTGAAATTGCCCTTATCCTGAAGAAAACAGTATATTGTCAGAATCGCCAAGACTATCGGTATGGAGCCCTCGATGTTACTCAAACGCATACAGCGATCTACAGCAGGCTTCAGTCTAGATATCCTGTTCTTATCCCCATAATTATATTTTCGGAGGTGGTACTGGGTACTGGTTTCTCCTTGCGAGTAAAACTCGCTGATATTCTGTTCGCGAAATCTATAAAATGCAATGCAGCAACAAATTTTAGGAACTGAACTGAGCTGCTTTTATTTCGCAAATGGCATAGATCTGATCGGTAAACTTTCAGCAATAACGGATTACATGGAGCTGAGTGTAGCAGCAGCGAATATGCCACGTCCGCCCTACAAACTGACGCCGGATATGGAAAAAAAAGTGAAGTACATCCACGACACAATACATGATGAACTGAATACAAATTCGCCTAAACTTGGCACTGAACGTGAAGCGCTAAAGGTAATCTTCTTCCATATGCTTAAATATCGTATGTTCGTCTTAGGCGTAGTCTCCGAGTCATTTACTGTAATTTCGGCCATTTCATCAGGAAGAACTGTCCAAGAAAACTCCTTCGGAAGAGAGGCTTGGCTTGTAGCTGAAGTTCGGCAAAAAGCCACTTACTGAAGTGTGTGCGCCGATTATGGGAACAGCATTCGAAAATGCAGACTGTGTATGCGAATATAGGCTGTGTATGCGAATGGAATACGTACAGAATACAGGTGCTCCAGTCATTGCACAAGGACCGATGGTGCAGTGGTTTAGCAAGTCATGACTAAATGTGAAGACGTGTGGTTCGATTCCCTCCCTCTCCCCTATTCAAAATCACTTGCAAAAACCATTCTCCGCGAGAGGGCTACACTGCTATGATAACGGTCTGCATCTTTCTTACAGGATGCTTGTGGCTGAGGGAAGCAGGAGGTTATGTCTGAGAGTGAATCCTGTAAGCTGTCGTTACCGTACGGTTTATAATGAGCTTTACTAATACTGTGATGATGAAATTCCAGGAGGAATTTCGCAAAAAAGAATTGATTTTCTTATTCCGTCATCGTTCATTTCTTTTCCTGAAGGGCTTACTAGTTCAGCGATTTTTCTCTCAAAAGCAACTGATCGTTTCAAAATACTCTCGGTGTATGTTGAGCACCATCATTTGTCAGGACATTGTCACTCCTAGATCATAATAAGCAACCTCATCAGTTAGGAGTACCACACGTTGGTGTCATAACTTTCATAGTTAACTACTAGTTTTTGCCATTTTTTTCGCCATAAAATTAGTAATTGGCCAACGCACGGGCTGCCTATGCGAAGTTTCGTTTTTTGCATAGCTCCCCGCAGATTTTCCAGCAGATGCTTCTTGCTAAAAGAATTTCAGGCTGGCCGCAAAACTGTCAGGAAACAACCCCTCAAAATCCCAGTCTTCTAGCTTCTCACGTCCTCGAGTTAGCAACTTTAACGGGCCCGTACGTAGGTACTACCCTTACCTGCAGGCAAGGTTCGAACTCGTTAATACCCAGTTGGGCAGGGGACATCCCCCAAAGATTTCAGCGTTCTAGCTTCTCAGATTCCCGAGTTATGAACTTACCCCGACGAAACTTTGGCAAGCCCGTAGTGGGTACCACGCGGATGATGGCGCCCATTTGGGGATTGGAGCCGGCACGTGCATGTAGATTAAGTTCCCGAAATTCCAGCCTTGTGGCTTTTATGTCTTGAGATGAAAGTGCGTGACAGATGCACACACAGACACGCAGACAACCCCTCGTCAGTATGCATTTTTGCACTGCATAGGTGCAAAAAACGCATAACAATTAGAATTATAGGTCATCAGCTAGTCCATTTGCTTGCGTGAATTTTAGATACTTATTTGTTGCAAAAAATAATTACTTCCCATTAATGGTCATTATGGATGACCTCTTGAACAGCTTTTCATTTTCAGCAAGCAATCTATCGAGAGGGCGATTCACGTCTGAATTATCAACTGAATTCGGCTGAGCTTCGTGCACTTGACGTCGTTAGTAACGTTTTCAAATCTTTGATAATTTTTTTGCGCCGTATATGATTTTTCCAAAAATTGTTACACGTTTTTTTTGAAAAAGACATGCTTCATGTAGGTTGATAATGTCCGTGCTTGCTCGTTTCAACCGTTAAAATCAATTTCAAGCACATTTGGTAGACGCGTTACCCATTTCCTCAAGACTTAGCACTTTCGTTCCATACTGCTCCACAAATGACTTGCTTCTGAAATGCTGTCTGTATTGCTCCCGTGTAAATTTGTTTTCGGCTCTAACCCTTTCTTTGCGCTTGAATGAGGCTGATTTAGGTTCGTGATGCATTTGCTTGCATGAATGAGCCGATCGAAGATCCAAGAAAAGTAGCATGTTTAAAAAAGGCCAGTCATAATCCCACTGATATATTGAACATCATGGATATTACAATGCGTAGACTGGTTAAAATGGCTAAGAAATTACCAGCATTCAATGATTTGTCGCAAGACGGGAAATTCGCATTGCTCAAAGGCTAGTTCGTTTGTTTTAAATTTTTTGATTGCTTTTGAATCAGTGATTACCGAGAGGGAAAAAACAGTTTTAGCTATTAATCTAATAACTCACTAACTGAAATATAAGGTAATCATCCAAACTGGATTTTATAGAGCTAATCTGGATTTTTGTACTTTTTTTTTGGATTTCTGAAGTTCTTTTTAAAGTTCTTCATAAAGTTTTTTTAATTAATATTTTTGGGTCTATAGTTTTTGTAAATACGCATATATACTTGTCGACAACTGCTGCCTGTTTCGCATTAGTGAGTGTGCCCGCGAGGAAAAAAAAGCTATCATTCTGGCAGTTTTCAACGAGATAGAGCATTTACATCGAACAGGAAGTGGGTGCTAACTGGAGGTATGTTGCCCAGGATCGACGATTTTGGTTTAACTGTGACTGGCGTTTTGAAGGCATTCCAGTACATAATTGCTATCGGATACTCACATCAGTGCCCGAACAACGTTGATGTTTTTTGTATCAGCGTACGTATACTTTTTAAGTATGCCAGATCATTCACTAGAACTGACACTGTTGCTGCTACAGGAGGCATGGTGGAAATGTTGACAATGCGAGGAGTAACTCGTTTTGATATGGATCAAAAGTGTTGGCGGACTCCAGTTGTTCCCGAAAACTATCAGATTTCGCTGGGAATGTTCGATCAGTTGAAAGAGGGTCTTCGAGACCGTCAGAAAGACGGGTTTCTGAAGTATTTTTTCTAAAGTTTTTTATTATTTTTTTACGTCGTTTCTGAACTAATCTTATCGTACGAGCATGTCACAGTTCTCTAATACATTTTCAGTTCGTTTATTTTATTTACATTTTAGCTAAATTTGAGAAATGACTTTAAATTGAGCAGGATTTTGAGCGTAAACTTTCCTTTGACTCAAGCCATTTCTGGGTGTTGAACTCTCAGACAGAGTACTATAAATATATTTTCTTATTTTACTCCAGGAATGAGATTTAGGTGTCTCTTTTTGACCGGGACCTGCATTTTAGCCAAATAGAATCCTGTGCCGAAAATATATGAGAATTTAGGGGTTTTTTTACTTCCAAACATGCCGAACCTACAAATTTCGTATTAAAGCGAATTTTTGAACATTGCCCGCTTCGAAATTTAGTGGCGACCTTGAGCCATGAGTAAAAACCACTCTAGCATCCATCAGCTACACAGTCTGTAGATACTTTTCTTTCGAGCAGAAAGCTTTTTATAATTACGTTGCACCCATGGAACTAAATGGGTTTCAGGTTTTGCCAGTCATTGCATCCGGACATTCGTAATAATGAGCTAGCAATTGACTTGATTGTGCTTATTGTACTGTTCGATTCGAATCGCGATGCACTTCTCGACCCAGCTGATCGTATTACTGTTGCACGGCACTGTCAGGAATATCAAGCTCTCCTGCATCGGTGTGAAATTTTCCGCTTTTTATCTAAAAGCAGTGATTTTTTTTTTTTGAATTTTTTGATCCATATTTTGGAATTATTTTTCAATTTTCAATTTATGAAATGATACTCATACCTGATTACAAGTACTGAACAAAAACTGGAGACAACAGGCATAAGATATGAGGATCTGGCAAACTTGCTTGACATGTGAGTATGCCAGAGCAGGAACTGGAATCCCGTTCTGTTAATCCGGATCATGTGATAACAGACATTTTATCCGCTCAATTTTCTGTCTGTTTGCGAAGAGATGATGATTTATTTAGTTGTGAAAGTGACGGAAAACTAGATATGGGATTATTGTGATTTTTGAGATTTAAAAAACTTTTTTATTGATATTTATCAAGCGAAATTTTTAAACATTTTTTTTTGATTCGTAAGGGCAATTTTTGAATGCCAAAAATAATTTTAATTGTTTAAACAAGGGAAAAATTCGTTCCTTCAACAATAAAGGCCAAAAGTGAGAGGCCTACTACAAATTGTATTTTGCCTGATTTACAAAATTTTCCTCTTTCTTTTTCGAACCTGCCAGGGGTCTGTTTCTAAGCAATTCTCGAAAGAGGGAGCCATCATCAGCCTTGCCAGTGGGTGATTGCAATTCCTCTCTTGGTGAGTGAATAGGGAGGGAAATGTTTGTCTTTTTGACTTAATTTCTCTCCCGTCCCCTATTTTTTCAGTGGTACTCCAGCTGAGATTACATTTTTTTTTTAGCTATATGGAATCGATGTACGGCTATGATGCACGTTCCCGGTATGAGAATTTGCCGG